TTTTTTGGTGAAGCGGAGACTCTTGAAGAGGGTCTTTCGCTGTCTGTATCGTCCATGTATATGTATATGTTCTCCTCGTTTTCGGAGTCCGACATGTTGTGCGTGTGTTCTTGCGTGTGTGCGTGCGTGCGTGTGTGTGTGTGTGCGTGTGTGTGAGGGTGTGTAGGTTTTAGTCGTGTGGGGATGCCCCCTTACGGGGGCGTACGTGTCTTTTGGTGTATTAGTCTGTCTGGTATATTGTTTGTCGGGGGTCGCAATTTTAAAGAAATGTGTTCTAAAATAATGCAAATAACTGATAAATAAAGTAAAAACTTACCTGGGCATAACCCCGGCACAGGTACCTGTAACAAAGATGCCGACGGCCTCTATGCTTAAGCCGGGGATTAGGTCGGTGGTTAAGCGGAAAGTAAGGGATTCTTTCCAGGTAGCCTTAATAAAGGCAAGTAGATCTTGCTCGTTGCAATGCACTTCACTTCACAATAAACACGTCCGCTCAGTTCGGCCGCACGCTCGAGAATGAGCCAAGAATACGGATTTGGAAGATTTCATTCAAATGACGTCATCATTCGACATTCGACTGACCTTCACCATGCGAGAGCTTAAGAATCGAGGCCCCCTGCCAGGGAGACTAGACACCCTGCCCCATGCCATGGCACGCGTACCATGGAATGTGCCATGGAAAGGCTGTCGTGTGGAATGTCTATTAAGGTGAGAGCTGCCCCACGGACCACCTAGACTGGCCGTATCTAATTCCAATGCACGGGTACCAGTGAATGCAAAATCTGGGGAAGTGGAGTGTGGAAGGCAACTGATCGCGCGCATCTTTAAGCAGATCCGGATTAAGTAATATTTTTATTACATATTAAATATTATATTGCATCTTATGACAAATATTCAATTTTAAGTTTGTAATTCAGAAAATAGTATATTTTAGTGTCGTATTAAATAAAACTACAAAAGAATTTAAATATATTTATTGTCCTCTAAATAATATATTAATTTATTTAATATTTGCCTTTTAGTAGATTTTACGGAATTAAATAATTTGACTTCATGATTTATTCGTACATCGATATACTTTTCACATTCAGCCCTTATAAGTTATATAAAATGATTACAATTGTTAGGCAAATTATCAAATTGATGTTCATGCAAATTTTCAAATATGTTCACATTCAGAAAGTTTTTTAATACATGATAAACAATTTTATTTTTCTGTAGCCTAGGTGTTCTGCTTTCATCATTATTTAATAATTTTATTAATTTTTATGTTTTCTTAGCATATTACTACGACATCTCGAGATGGATACGTCAAACAACCACGATCTTTAATAAAAATTAATTGACTGTACGAATACTGAATCTGAAATTAGTTTTGTTCAAGATTTTTTTAATTGAAAAAAATATTTAATTAGTTTTCAGCTATCTCGAAATGACGGGAATTGGTAAAATTTCATAAAAATTTAAGACTCACATAAAGTAAATAATTACTAAAAATATTTTACAGTAATTCATTCATTATTTTATAATAACAATATCACGTTAATCACTACACTATGTGGGCGAACAAAATTGTAAAGCTAACCCTGGAAACTTGTGACGTTAACCGAAAAATGGCGTACATATTTACCTTTTATATATTCCTTTTTTTTTACTTACCTAAAGAAGGAAACTTTTTGCCTCTCTTCACCAACTCGATCACTTCTATTTATACAATGTTTTACAATACACTTGCCCATTATATAATTTCTAATTATCGAAATCACAGCGATGCGTACACGTCAAATGCTAGGACACGACTGAGCGCTGGGCTCCAAATCAGGCTCCAAAGTGTTTTCACCAGTCGCTCTATAAGCCAGTCTAGGTGGTCTGTGGAGCTGCCTTAAGGAGATATAACACGTTTTCTATTATTCATGATTTTGGAATCATTGAACATATAACACGTTACGATCCGATGAAAACCTATCATGCTAGATTTGGTAACGCGTTATGATTCTGAAATCATGAATAAAAGAAGAGCTATAATTTCCAAATGGTGTGACATTTGATTTACCAACAGATTATCGACAAAATCTTTGTATATGTAAAATGTATTAACTGAAAAATGTGTTTATTAATTTTCTGAGTAAAAAATGATATTTCATTAAAACAAATTTTTAAATTTACACCCAGTTTTTTAGATTGTCTTTTAAATTTACGAATTTGAACATCAGTATCACTATATTAGAAAATCTAGTGGATTTATGGTGAAATAAAAATAAAAAAATATGGAATGTAGTGAATTTCTATTGCTTACTATTGGCTACGTTGTAAATCATTTGACTTGACCACTGACTACTGTACGTCGTCGGAAGATAACTTCAGATATTTCCATAGACCTTGAGTTGAGTTCATAAGGTTTATGGAGTTATGGTTATGGATATTTCAGAATTTAAGGATGTTTAGGTTAAGGTGTACCGAATAAAGTGGAGAAAATAAAGTCTAAGCCCTAAGATGAGCCCTGATATTTTATTTAAGTTTATGAATGCAGTATAAGACGTAAGTAATCAATGAAATATTTTTGTTGCGATTCCCAGTATTCCTAATTTATTTCAGAATTTACAATGTTTACTTTTAAAAAGGTAGCTAGTTTTTGTTGTTCCAAGAGGATGTTGTCAGCTAATGGAAATTTTAGAATAATATTAGAACATTTAAAAGAAAGATCTCTCATTCGTGTAGCAGGTGAAGATGTAGAAGCACTTTTGCAAGGTTTAATTACTAATGATATTCATCATCTGGGCCAATATTCAGGTGGTTCAATGTACACAATGTTTTTGAATACAAGGGGAAGAGTTTTATATGATACTATGATATACAGAGCCGAAGAAAATAATACTTATTATGTGGAATGTGACAAATTTGCAGTAGAACCTATTCAGAGACATTTAAAAATGTATCGTGTTAAACGTAAAGTTGAAATTTCTAGTTTGGGTGAAAAATATGCAATTCATTCATTATTTAAATTTAGAAGGCTAAGCCTAGACAGTAATTCAAAATTAAACAGAATTGAAGGTGTTATTATGCCGTGTGATAAACTAAAAGGTACTTTGCCAGAAACTTCATCTACTCTTAAAATATATAAGGATTTAATAATATTCAAGGATCCTAGGGTTGTAGAATTAGGTTCTAGAATAATATCAAAAGTAGGCACTAACGTAAAAGATCAAATCTGTGAAGTAATAGGTAATGTTGATACACCTACTGAAGACATGAATTATAAAATCTTTCGGTATAGTCTTGGAGTTGGAGAAGGATTTAATGATTTGCCTGTTGCTAACTGTTTTCCGTTAGAATGCAACTGCGACTATTTACATGGCATTAGTTTTCATAAAGGTTGTTATATTGGGCAAGAACTTACAGCAAGAACCCATCATACAGGAGTAATTCGTAAACGTTTAATGCCATTATATTTTAATCAAATTCCTACAAAGTTACCAACTGATAATGTTATTTTATACAAAAATGTTAACTTGGGTCGACTTAGAGGTATTGAAGGCAATGTGGGTTTAGCTTTATTAAGAATTAGTAAAGCTTTAGATTTTGGTGAATTTAGTGTAGGAAACGGTATAGCAAAAGTAATCAAGCCTAGTTGGTGGCCTCTTGAAGCACCCAAAGAAAAAGTGAATGTAGAAAAAAACTGATTCATTTTAATATTACTTTATTATTATGTTTTATATAAAAAATTGCAGTGAGTTACCTGAAATGAAACAACAATAAGCAATACATAATGTTAATGAGAATGCTAATAAGAAAATCTGGAATTGTTGAAAAAACTACAATTGAATTGTACCAATAAACAGATTTTTTTTCAATGTAATTAATTTATTAAAGATGTGATTCCATTAAAAACAGTTATTTAATTAAAAATCTTTGTAATTGTTATATCTGGATACAATAGTAGCGACTGGTAGTCATAATTTAATAATGAAATGTGGGACCCATACTCTTATTAGGTGATTATTTCTTTGCTCACATAGAAAACTTCTGAATTAAATTTTTGAAATAAAAAGTTAATATTGTGATAACCTCCTCTGTGACCTCAAAAGAGAGTTGCATGTATATAAGTAAATACTGTCTATATTGCGGGGTCAACGAGGTCAAGTAAAACTTTCTTTTTACTTTTCATTTTATGAAGGAAAGTCGTCCCTTTGGTCGCCCCTGTCAAAAATTCTGCTTGGGTTTAAACGTGCAAAAGTGTAGTAGAAAGAAATATACATGGTGTATTTAAATGGAGGGGTACAAATGATACCAGAGATTCCTTGGGTGAAAATAACGATTTAACCCAAGTCGCATAATAAAAAAGATAGGATATCAAAGTGAAACCCCAGTATACAGCTTTTAGTAACAGAATATGAAATACTGGATTTTTTTGAACAAAAAAAGTATATTGAAAATGTCTAAAGCCAGTTGGGAGATATTTTTAATTTCATAAATTAGTGTTACGGATTTACACCTCCATGAATACCAAGCTACAGACACTTTTGTTAATAAATTTAGAACACATTGCCTCACAGTACTTATTAGTTGCGTATCTGTATTTTAAAATTCGACCAAAAGGGGGCGCAGGAATCAACTGAGACCATATTATTTTTCCTGTGTTAAATTTACTTTACTCTTTTTGCATATAATTTTAGCATGTGTCAGTACACTTGTTGCATAATTTCTATTTAATTGTTTTTTCGGTATCTTTATTAAAAAACAAATTTTCTTGTGCATGTGAAATTATTTAAACCCTGCATTAAAGAAATCTCGTAAGAAATAACAGTTCAGGTGAAAATATATTGCGCAAAACAACTAAAACCAATAGATAATTTAAGAGAAACAATTGGCTGACAATAAAAACAAACAAGATTTTTTAAAGGATATTTTCAAAGTAATTTCCTTTTTTTTGTAAGCATAATCTAATTCTACAATTAAAATTACGACGAACTTTTGAAAAAATATGTATGTCATTCTTTACTTTCTCAGCTGTTGCAAAAATTCTTTTACGAAGCATCTCCACAATAGTGTTGGAATAAACAACATTTTTTAAGTGACCCCATAAAAAATAGTCCAAGGATGTGAGATCCGGTGATCGCGCAGACCATTTGACTGGAGCATCATTCCCTCAACCTATCCATCTACCAGGAAAATTTAAATTTAACCATTATCTAACAGCTAATGTACTATGAGCAGGAGCTCTGTCATGTGTGTACCATATGTTTTCATGGATAGCTAGTGGCACATTTTCAAGCAATATTGGGAGTTGCTCATTTAAAAATCTCACGCCGAGGAAGAATAAATGGACCAATAAGATAATCTCCTACGATTCCTGCCCATACATTTAAACTAAAATTCTGTTGAAATTTGGATGTACTTACAAACTTAGTGAAGATTTTCATCAGACCATGAGTGATTATTGTAATGGTTCACTAAACCATGTCTTTGAAATGACGCTTCATCACCAAACAAAGTACTGGATAAAATATTTTTGTTTTCCCTTGAAATGTTCATATATCATTGACAAAAATGTATCCTGTTAGATAAATCCCCAGCAGTTAATTCCTGCACAGGTTCTAGATGGTAGGGGTATAAAAGATAATCATTCACAATTTTCCAAATCGTAGTATGTGAAATGTTATACTGTGTCGCCAATTTTCTGGTACTAGTTTCAGAATTCTGATCTTGTAAATTGACAAGGACAACTTCTTCAAGTTCTAGATCACGAATAAGACATCTTCTGCCAGTACCTTCAGGACGAAGTTGAGTGTGTCTGTTTCCTTGAAGTCTTCTTTCTAACACCGCAAAAGTTTTTCTAGCAGGAACAAGACGATTGCTATATCTGGCATGATAAATTCGTACAGCAGCAGCACAGTTCTTGTAACATTCAAAAAATACTTGCAACATATTGACATACTCATCATTAGTAGGTATACATAATTTGTTATTTTATTTTATTCAAATCCAAAACTATTTAATATTTAGGACGCAGGTAAATGGTGACTAAAATCGCTTTAAACTAATACTTCAAAACTCAAATGACATTTACCTACTTGATTTTTTAATTTATTTAAGCAACTTGAACCTTGGTATTAGCGGAGGTATAAATCTGTAACATTAATTTATGAAATTAAAAATATCTCCTCAATGGTTGGCTTTAGCCATTTTCAATAAGTATACCTTTTTTGTTCAAAAAAGCTAAATATTTCATATTTTGTTACTAAAAGCTGTATATGGGGGTTGGCAAAAAAAAAGTTACTACATATTCAATGCATAACGTTGCCTGTAGAGGGTGCCTCGTACTCGACACTCAAAAATCATTATTATATTATTTTTCCCACCATTAAAAAAACTCTCTGTTGAAAATTTGAAACATTTCTGACTAAAATTATAGAAATTATTAAGGAAAAACCATTTTTTATTTTTCACTTTGACACCCTGTATTTTTTTTATTATGTGACATGTGATATAAGTATGTTTGGTTAAATCGACTTATTTTCACCCAAGGAATCTCTGGTATTGTGCCCCTCCATTTAAATACACCCTGTATAGTAGTTGATTTTATTCATAGTAATACATTTAATTACACCAGTTAAGAAGTTCCACATTTTAAATACAAAAAAATTTCAATTAAAAAATTAACGTCAGCGCTGTGGAGGGCTGACCAAAGTTGTATTTTTTTAAATGGAACGCCCTGTATTTGAGTGAATATTTATATTTCACATGGAATTATGCAACTTTTTCGTAATAGGTAATATGTACCAAAAATCAGCCGATTCTGAGATAATAATTTAATATAAAAAATGGCATTTTCGGCGTTACATTTGAAATATTTTGCCTCAATTATATTCTAGCGATTAATCAACTTTGCCACAGCGTTGACCCACCCTGTACAAGAGTTGCTTATGGATAAAATTAGTTTGCACATTTATGAACAACTTTTCTCAAGGTCTTGGGTGAAATTACTTCTGTTTGTTATTTTGGAAAGTTTTTTGTCATAAAAGTTCCGTGTCTATGTGAACATAGAAATCATCTCCTGAAAAAGGGTAGGAGTCATCAAAATAAGACATTAATTTTCACCTACTGCAACTGATAGAAAGATAGTTTAATTTTGGGACATAAATATTTTTCACTTATCAAAGTGGCACTAATATATTTTTTAATGGATATTTTCACAATTAGATTTTAAATTTGAAAATTCAAGATACAAGTATATGAAGTTGAAATTGAGCAAAATAGGCACTATTGTCGCAGTATCATGTATGGCAGAGCTAATTTGTTCCACATTGAATTTACAGAGGTTTAATGTTGAATACACATGGACCCAATTTTGAGTTGCAATACTAAAAATTGTGGGAGGTACTGGTATTTGATGAAGATGTTGCAACTTAATTTTTTTGAATCAAATATCTGAAAAACTACTTAAACAATGTTGTACAAGACCTTATTACATTCAAAATTTTGCATAAATTCCTACATAGTGTACTGTTAAGTTAATGCAGAATACTTGTTTTTTTTTCTCTACATCAGATCACTTTTTCAAAATTTATTATGAGTATATGGAATCATTACTTTATATCAAAATGTAAGTAATTATGTAGATACATGAATATCCAGTGCTCTGTCATCGTTAACATATTTTTTGATGAAATATTTTGTGTCTTAGAAACATAGTGTCTCATTTTGGAGGCTACAAATCTAATTACATTTCCATATCGACTTGTTTTGCATACATTAATATTTTGTATTTAAAAAATTTTATTGTTACCAAAGTACCTAATATATTGAAATAAAATTGTTACTTGTTATTTAGTTTTATTTCTAGATTTTATTTTCAGACTGACATGGAGACAGAAATTGAAACAAAAGCAAACCAACCAGATGTTGATTCCAAGGCTGATATAAATATCAAAACAGAGGGTACAGACTCATTTCATAAATCTATACAAAATAAAAATGAGAAAGAAGAAAAATATTTTAAGTGTTCTTCTTGCATTTTTAAACAATCTTATGACTACTTTGGGAGCAATCCTCCTCATGTAAAAAATTACATACTCTTAGAGGACGCATATGTTATTGAAGATCCATTTTTTCCTCCAAAACATGGAAGAATTGTGATTCTAGGAGCTCATTGTATAAAATGTAGAAAACCAGTTTGTAAAGATGTAAACTGTAGTGTGTACTTTGATGGGACTTTCTGTATAGAATGTGCTAAAAACAATATCAAGAGTTTTCCACCTGCAGTGCAAGAAAAGTTAAATAGGATTATTTAATTATTAGTGTATAATTCAAATACATGTTTGAAAAGAAATTTATAGTGGGTCAATAATTGATGGCTGGTGAAAATTAAATTGGTTATTTTCTAATGAAGTGTGGGTGGTTGACTAGAGAACAAAGATCTTCAGAAAGATTATGCATAGAGAGTGTATCATTTAAGATGGATTCTTTCATAGCTCTTCATTTATACAGGATGTCCCATTTCTTCTAAACGTTTCATAATTTCACTTTTTCACATTGACATATTCAGTTTGATTTAATGTCTACTTTAACAAACAGAACTAAAACTCATTTTGGCGTTATTTGACGTTTTTAATTTCCAAAATTAAACATGATAGCAATTTGATTATCACTCATTCAAGCATGAAAAAACTATATTACATGTTAGGGGAGAGGGTGGAGCGTTCGACTAAGTGGGGACTTCGGCTACCACTAGTTACTCGTTTTCTGTTTGCATTTCCCGTCATATCATAGTTGCAAAGTATGCCAATGTTGCTGACAGTGAGCTATTATGACAGAATCAAATGTCTTGTGTTTTAAAGATAGGTATATTAATATATTCATCTTTCAACTCTCAAGGTAACTTTTTATCCAGATCAATATCTTGTTTTTTCTGACTACATTTTGTTTTAGACTTCTTGATAATATGCGAGAGCCTTTTTGGTTTTTGGAGACTAAATAAACGCTTTTTGAGTAAATGCAAATACCTACTTTATTTCTACACTCCTACACATCTGTCAAAAAAACATTTTTACACGAATACATTTTAAATTTTATTTCAAACCAACACTTCTTTTTTTAGAAAAAATATGTTATGGTGTATCATCTAATGAATTTTCATGTTGCAAATGACACATCAGGTGATGAATCATTTGAATCATTACAAACTTTACAACAGTATGTTACTTTTAGTATCGATGACTTTGTTTTGGCAAGGTTCAGAGAAGACAAGAAGAAAGAAGACTATTACTATATTGGCAAAATTGTATATGTCGAAGAGGAAATGCTCACAGCCACATTTTTAAGAAGAATGGGACACCACTAATTTTATTTTCTAACAATTGTAGCCATTAATTTTTTGATAATACCTACCAATTTCAGCTCTCTTAAAATACATTTGAACTTTTTACATTTTATAATAGTGTAATATTTAAATTATCTGGATTATTCGAATAATTCGAAGATTTGGCTACATACCACTAATTTCGAGCAGTATTTGTATTATTCAAATAGTCTACGTAAATATTCGAATAATTCAAATAATTTGTATATCTGAATAACTCAAATAATTCGAATAAATATTGAAGTAACTATTCAAATACGAAATTTAATAAATGTCCAAGGGAACAGTACTCCAGGACAGCCAGTAAAAAGTTAAATAGTAGTCTCTATGCAATACTTCTACTACAATACTTACCTTTGATCAATTAATTTTAATGTATATTATGCTATTGTTTATTTTCACATTTCTTATATTATTTTATGGGGGAGCTCGGGCGATACTTCCAGGATTTTCATTTCTCAGAAGAAAATAATTCGTCTAATATCAGACAAACATGTAAAGATTATTTTAGACTATTTAACATACTTTTTATTCTATGTATATGTATACAGGGTGATTCACAAATGGTGACAAAAAATTAAACCTTGTATTCTTTGGAGAATTTTAAGGGAAGAATATAAAGTTTTTATCTAGGACATTTCGTTAAAAAGATTCAGGGTGTTAAATTAAAAAAAATATTTTAAATAATTTAAAAACTAGTAACTAGTAATTGGGCACGTATTTATGAAAACATTGTCCAAAATCTGGCGCCTTTTCCTAAAATTTACATTCAGTGGCGGATATGCAGGGTATCGGTGGCAAATCAGGAAAGCACACTGGAAAATGTTATTACATATTTAAACCGATTTTTCTCCAAAACGGATTACTTTTTCGATATAAAAAACATTACCACTTTTTCAAAGAAAACTCAGATCTATCGAATTTTAATGTCTGTCCCTACTTATTAGGATGCCCATGACAAACTTTTCTAAGAACTTTTCACGTTTATTACAATTTATAATGATGTGATGATATATCAATAATCATAATGGTACATGTACCTATTTTACTTATTCAATGGGCGCGGCGGTAGCCGAAGCGGCCAAGGCTTGCCTACAGAGGCAAGCCAGGGCTGTGCGGCAAAACCGTAGTGGGTTCGAATCCCGCACACGGCAGGAAAATTCTTTCGAATTTTCCTGTCGTACCATGGATGTTTGTGATTGTTAAGGTGGAGGGTAGTGTAAGTTAGCAGGCAAAAAGGGCCAAGCATGGCTTAATTGCTGGTAAGCTTCATTATATTTACCTTTTACCTATTCAATAAAATTTTTTTGAACTTTATTAAAGTAATGGAATGAAATGCTTTGATCCGTTTTTCTCAGAAATGGAGCAAGAAATAAAGGATATCTTTTTTGTAGACGAAATGAGGATCTATTATATCAGCATCTGAATTTAAAAATTTCGCCAAGCAAAAAAATAGGGGCAAATTTTCGCTGAAGATCCCTCCAATTGAGACGCTCCCGACTAAAATTTTTAAAAATTTCTATGATCTATTTTGACTTAATGAGCGTTCATGGTGTCAAAATTGATAATTTTTCTTCAGCCAGTTTTGGAAATATTTAAAAAAAATAGTTTTTAGAGGCCCCTTTTAGGGAGAGCATAGCTCCCTTAGTAAGCATTTCTCGACCCATGTTTATATGAAAAAATATTCTTATTTTTGGCAATAGTAAAATGATAAATTATTGGATACTAATTATGAGACACACTGTATATCTAATGAATAAAGTAAATACGTTTAGATGTAAAAATTTTAGAATATCTAGAATATTAGTTCTTCATTTTTATGTTGCCTTAAT